GATTTAATGATGACATCATGGTCGATAAAATAAAATGGAATAATTTTAATATTTTTTTTCTAACACTTATTTTATTTGGTAAAAATGCATAATAGTATTTGAAGTCTATTCGGACGGAACTAACTAAAATTTACTTAACATACTTCCTAAGATCCGTCAAAGGAAAGTGGAAACATATAGTTAATCTTCTCCTTAAATGAATCGATACAGGAATTCCTATGGAGTCCATAAATTATTACAAACTGTTATCACATTAAGAACTCCTTGAACTTAGATTAAAAATTAATGATTTAATTTAAATTCGGCTAAGCAATTCATCATCCAATTGCCTTCGGATTTGAAATAAATAGTTTTGTTTAGTGGAGAATCGTCTCATCTATTCGGTAACAAAAATCTATTGTACAATTTTTTAATACCGTATTTTACTTTCAATTTCATTTCATATTTTATGAAATGTGTATAATAATATTGCAATTATTTTTTATTTAATGTTTTTTATTCTTCATTAATACATACATACATCATTTACACTAAATTTGATTGAGACAAAGGTCGAGCTATCAAATAAATTTTGGTATATAAAACGATGACAATAATTTTATTTTTATTCAATGGTTCATTTAAAATTTAATGCCATAAAGAAATTAGAAATTATGTTTTCTGTATTCCTCCTTTATCTTTTTCATTAGAATTTTAGAATATCACAAGTGAATCGGATCTCATTTTACATGGTAGTTTAAATGGTTTAATGTAGTGCTTTATAAACATTTAAAAATAAAAAATAGTTTTTATTTGAATTAATTTTTATAGGGATTACGTAATATGTGTATAAATGTATATGTATGTATTTGATTTCTAAGAAAAATATTTTTTATTTTGTGAATAAATTTTATATTAGAAATTGTATGTATTTAATTCATCCGAATTAAATTTTTATTTGTGAATTAAAATTAATGAAGTTTAAGAATTTTTTCAAAATTTATTGAATTAATAAAAATTATTTTTATAGTTTAATTTTAATTTTTTGTATAATTTTCCCATTTCATTTAAAATTCTGATCGTATGTGCATCCATACATACATATATCGTATATATGGTTCAATGAATTTCTGAACAGTTTCCGCTTTTTTTTTCTCAAACCGGATATTAATTTCATATTACATTAAATTATATTAAAATCCCTTATAATTTCTTAATAATTTTAAATTTTATAAATAAATAATTGCAGACATAATTATGTATAAATATATTTGTATATACATAATTGCATTAAAAATTCTTATTCCTCTCATCTGCATTTTCCGGAGTTATTCGAAAAAAAAGTGGTTAAATATTTTCATTTATTAGGTTTTTTTTTAATATTACTGAATAAACAAATATTTTATAAGTTATTAATTTGATTTCAACTGCTAAAATGTGGTAATATTAAATTTGACCCACATTATTGTATACTATGGGGGGCTACCCTATGGGGTCTGCCTGGCTACTGTGCTTATTATATACCAAAACAATTTTATTAATGGTAAGAGTTCTTCATTCAGGGATAGGAAGAAGCATATATGTGGTACAGAGAAAAAAGGAAATACCAGATGAGTACCAGTTTACAGTTTTTCCAAATTAAATCAAATTTTATTGAATTATACCATTGAACATGAAGAATTCAATATAAGAACAGTAAGTTGACCTATTTACCCTAAGAATCAATTTTTCTTATCTATTGAATTTTTAATTGATAATTTTTAAGTCTAAATTACTTGCGATTAAAATTGAAACTTTGTAATTGGATTTTAAATTCTTTAAATTATTTTAAAATATTTTCTAAATAAATTTCAAATAATTTTATTTAAGTTATTGCTATTATAAATAATTTATTGCTACCACAATTTCATTTTAAATATGTACAAATAATTTTAACAATTTTAATTTTTATTTTAAACAAATATTTTTTTTTTAAATCCAGTTTAAATTGAATTTTTTATATTCTTAAAAAATTCTAAGAGTGTTATGCCTCTCCTTTGATAATTTCCACGAAAAATAAGCAAAAATACGAAAAGAAATTTTTATAGAAGACAATTTTAAAGTGTATAATGTAAAAACAAAATAATATTATCGTTGTCCTGTCCAACTAAATACAAAGTAAAAGTCCTTATTATGTGTGTTATAAAGTATAAAATGATAATTTTTATATGGAACTCGTAGATTCGTAACAATAACAAAAATAAACATTTTATTTCTAAAATACGTCCTTCATTGCAGAGAGATTCAAAGTCTTATTCTATTTTTTTTTTTTTTTAATTCCCATGTATTGTACAAACAATAGAAAAAAAATTGTTACATCTATAAAAATAAAAAAAATTAGTAAGATACTATGAAAATATTAAAAAAAGGATCAAATAAAAAAAACAAGTCTAGAAAAATACCCAGAAGGAATTTCGAAATAAAAATCATTTTTATTTTTATATGCATATTTTTATAATATTAAAGACTTAAAAGTATGAATGAAAATTGTTAGAAAATGTATGAGTTGTTGGCGGGTGAAATGTTCAAATAAAAAATAACATAGGCCCGTTTATGGGTAGCCTTTGTCTTTGAATCTAAAATAAATTTTATTTTTTATTTAAAAATTTTCACTTACATTACCAATACTTTGGTTCGGTTCTATATACAGTAAAACTGTTGATAAAATTTTAAGTGTAGTATAGTTTAGTAGAATATTCATCGAGAATACAGTTTCTTCTCGTATCTATCAATATTCCAAATTAACTGAGGTGTGTCAGAGTCCTATCTTTATCCTTACGGAACCTACAAAATCTGTAATTCGCAAAACTTAGTTTTCAAAGACTGATGCTATTCTTGAACAGCATTCTTTGCATGATTTCTTGATATTCTTACAACTGTTTCAAAACTATTTCTGCTGTAATTTCACAAAAACTGCTTTTCTTACCAAAGATTTGAGTGCTGCATTCTACATAGCTCCAACCTTTTTTCTTCCACTTTATTTTTTAATACTTTCCGAATACTGCTAGACCCGATTTCACAGAATACAGGAGTTCCCTATAAAGTAAATAGGAGTTGACCTCCAATTATGTTTGAATACCACATTCTTCATTCAAGTTCTCTTTGAGGTGTCTCGTACCCACTACAGGATATGTATCCCATATTTGTTTTGTACAATAATTATTAAATTTGTTTTTTTTTTTTAATTCCTCCGTCTCTGAATTTAGAGTAACAAGCCTGGTAGAAGAAAGTCTTCTATAAAAAAAATAAAATATCTCTAAAAATAAAATGTAAATATTTTTCATTTTGTCTTGTTTTTTATTCTTAACTTTTCGTTTCTATTTATTTGTATAAGTACTTCCATTTTGTTTCGTCTTCTTGGTTCAATTTTTATTTAAGAGGAATTGTGTAAAATGATGTTTATTCAAATTTTATGTCATTTTAAGATTAAAGGTTTAAATTTTTCTTCTTTTCTTGCTTTTTTTTTTTTGTTTTTTATCATTTTACAAAAATATTCAATTTTTCTTTGGAATTTTAGTCCTTTTCGTTTGATATTGTGTTTTAATAAAATTTTGTAAATACATAATAAAAATTTTATTATAAAATTTTTAAAATATTAGAAAATTGAAAATAAATAAGTTCTCGTGCGTTGTTAGGAAGTAGACTACGAGAAATAACTTGCTTTTGTATTTTAAAAATCACATAATACGCCATCTACGAGGAATAGAAAATAATTTGAAATTAATAATTCTAAAGCGGTTTACATACATTTTTAAGTCATATATTATGCGAATTCCAGGCGAACTTTATAATATTCATTCATTTAATTTCCCGTTTTCATTATCAAATTAAAGACTTGCGTTTAAATCTTAAACGACAACTTGTATTTAACTGTTATCGATTCTTTATACCAGTCCATAGTCAGAAAATTATGATTTAAATCGATTTCATAAAATTTAATTTCGAACATGTTCGATTTTAACTCACATCGAACATGTTTGAAATTAAATTTGTGTGCGATTAATATGCAATTAGTAGTATGTACTGAAACGAAGGCAATTCAACATTTAAAATTTTTCTTTTATTCAATTATTTTTTATTTCATTTTTTTCGTAATTTTTTTTTCTTGTTTAATCAATTTTCATAATTAGTATTACAAGTTAACTTGCATTGTTCTTACTTTTGTTTTGGAATTTTTCAATTTCTTTTCCTAATTTGTTTTTGCACATAAATCTTGTTTTTTTTTATAATTTTATTATTTTTTTTTTCGATTATTTCTTATTTTTACTACAGAATTTTTTTCATCTAAATCATAATTTTTTTTTATTTTACATAACAAAGACATTTACAAACATTTAAAAATATTTTTTTTTATTTTAATTTTCTATATTTGTGTTTCAAGTTTTTTAAATTGTGTATTTTCAATAGGTATATAGCTATTTTCTTTATAAAACAAACTAACATTTAACTTGTATTCTTTGAAACAATTCCTATATTTACCCTATACATTCCTACAATATCTATCATACGGTTGAATCCGTTTTGTTATCTAACAAAATATTTTATACATTCACAAAATCTTAAATATACTAACTACAATAGCCTTACTGTATAATGAGAACCTAATTATTTATATTAAATTAATTCATACCTGTTTTTTTTTAAACGTTTAACCATTTTGTTTTTCAAATATTAATTTAATTTTTTATTTTAATGGGACGCGATTTATTTAGTTTTTAATATAATGTATGAAATACATATATAGTTGTTAGTATTGTGTATTTTTGTAATAATATTGAAATCAGCAATAAAATAATTTTTCATAATTAATAATAATATTGATAGTAATAATTTTAACAATTAAACAATTTGCTTCTATTAATTTTTAACACAATAAATTGAAATTATAAGAAATATTTAATTATGAAAAAAAGAATGAAACAACTCATTCAAATATAAAATCGAATCAAACATTGTATTGAATACTCGTATGTTGACTAAAATTGTGTGTATTATAAAAACAAACTTATGTGTAGATAATATGTTTAGTGTCAATTACAAATATATAGTTAACTCAAAATTCCAAATGTACTTCAAAATATACATAATATTTTAATTAAAATATTTTATATAGAGTTATTCCTGAATCGGAAGATTATAATTCATATTAAAATTTGTTCAAGAATGAAATATCTTATTCTTGCACATCTATGAACGCAAAATAACTCAAAAGAAATCTAAAACCATAGAGAGAATTAAACCTTAAGAAAATTAAAATATTGGCGCTTTAAGCACATATCCATTTCTAAAAAATTTTCCATTTTCATCCTTATATTAATTAACATTTTCTTCAATCGTTATTCTACTGTCTTTACTGTCTTTGTCATTTTGAATTTTACTAACGCTATTATTATCATTATCATCACGTTTAATGTCATGTAATATAACCTTATCATCAATATTATTACCATTCTTTAATAAGTTCCCATCATTTTCTATGTTGCATTCGTTATCATCAAATGGTATCACACATATTTTATTTAATTTTTCATTATCATCAATATTAACATCAGCATCTTTAATAAAATTATTATCATTAACTTTAATACTTTTAATATTATTTACTATACCATCATTATTACCATCATCATCATTATCATCTTTTAATTTATGGTGTTGCAAAGGTACTACAATATTTATTGATGGCATACATTCAATTTTAATTTTATTTGAAAAATCATTTTTAGATTCTACTTTCGATTCGTTTTCTATTGAAATATCAGATGCATTTTTTATATTATTTAAAAAAGGATCTTTTGAATTATTAGTATCACAATTACAATTATTATTACTATTGCCATTATTACATTTATTACTACTATTACATTTACAATTATTTAAATTTCTATTATTATTACTTATTTTTTGAAATTCATTTTGATCCTTTAATTTAATTGAATTTTTTGATGACAATTCAATTGTATTTGTATCACATGTTGTTAAATTATCACTTGTTAATTGTGATGATGATTGCTCTTGTTGTGTAAGTGAATTTTCTGTTTCTAATGTTATTGTTTTTTGTGTTGTTGCTGTTGTTATTTCTATAATTGCTTTATCCATTGTATCTGTTGTTATTTCCTGTGATTGAGGCTGATTTATTGAAAAATTTATTGTCTTTAAAATAAAATTTTCTTTTAAATTTTCATCATCAGTCTCTTTGGCATTCAGATTTTCTTTCTCTATAGAACTAACTAAATTATTAATGGTATTGGGTTTTTTGTCTAAATTAAATTCTTCACTCTTAATTAAGATCTTATTATTTTCTATGTTCATTTTATTTTCATTATTCTTAATTTCTTTATTCTCAATTGATTTATATTGTGAATTCGATTCACTTTCAGTCTTTAAAATTTTACTTCGTCTTTCACTAATTACACGCAATGAATCATAAAAATCATCATCGGTACCTGTTCTATTGGTTGTGCTATTATAATAATTGAAATAACTAGAAAATGATGAACTGTCTTCAGCTGAACGATTAATTGTATCGTATTCGTTGCCCAATTTTGGTTTTGAACGAAATGTCCTTGATGAATTACTACGTTGTAATGGATTTAAATTTTTTATTGGTTTTTCATCAATTGTTGTGGTTGTTGTTGTTGTTCTGGTGGTTGTGGTCGTTTTTGTACTATTTTTTATAGAATTTTTATTATTGCTATTAAATTTCATAATTGGAACTTGATTTGGTTTAATTTTTAATGATTGTGGACGTTGTTTTTTAATATTGCAATAGATGGGGCTATTACTGGTACTATTGTTATTATTATGATTATTTGTCGTTCTTCTATTATGTGTTGGAGTATGTAATTCATCTTGTATATTTGCTGATATGGTATTTACAATTGAATTTAATTCAATATTATTATTTTTACTATTTTTTATTGATGATTTATTCAAATTTTTATCATTATTTTCTATATTATTTTTATCTCTATCTTCTGATTCAGGGCTTTCTTCTAAAACACATGGTTCCAAACTTGATTGACCAGATAGTTGACGCATTGCAATTGATGGTTCTGAGCATATTGATATTTGACTTCTGTAAAATAATTAAAATAGAATATTAAATAAGTATTTTATTAAATTATTAAAAAAAATATCCTTATTTTGCTGTAATCAAGAAAAAATATACCACGTAATAGAACAGTAATTAATAAAAGTTGGGTAATCAAATCGAAAATTCCATTCCTAATTAAGTATTATTGATTTTTTTTTAACCAAACGCTCCAATTAGTTAGATATTATAGGTAAAGTTCTACAAAACAAATAAACTTTAGTGAAATGGATATCAATGAGAAGAATCTTCAAATTGCAATAACAATTGTAAATGGGGTCATATAAATAATTTGTAATTTTTATAAAAAAATTTTAACTTTTTATTACAAAACTTTTATTTTAATTGAAAATTAATTTGTTTGAAAGCTAAATTTTATTTTTAATGACTCCTATAAAAAGTTGTGTAAAAGTTTAATGTCTTTTTAGAGTTGTCACTTGTCAAACGAAATTTCGTAATGAAAATCTTATTCATTTTTATGATATCTTTAAAATATTTTAACATTTCTCTTTCTCCCTTTCTCTTATAATGAGTGCTGTATGTGCTGTCGATCTCGAAATTTAGAAGTTTTCTCTTTATGTAAAACTTTAAATTTTTTTTTGGAAAAGTTAAGAATAAGACTGAGTTTTGAAATAAGAAATGAAAATTTAATAAAAGTTGAAAAAAAAATTATGCTTGTTGAAATTTAAATTTATGCTTGTTCGCTACAAAAGGAGTTTTCTTATAAGAAATTGTATAAAACAATTTCTGAACTGATTTTTCGAAAAATCGTCTAAAAATTTTTTTATTAATTTTTTTTTTTTAATTGTTCGAAACTCAATCTATTTACTTTATTGTAGATGTTCAGCTGTTTTACCCGGGTTCTTATATTTAACAAAACATTTTTTGTATTTGAATTTTTAGAAAATTGTTAACAGCCTTAAAAAGTTTTATTGAGTTAAATTTAAACGTAAATTATTGCGATTTTTATTATAATTGAAAATTATTTGATGACTGTCAATTGCCTTAAATATTTTGTAGCCATAGTATTGCCATACATGTTTTATATAAATAACAGCAATTTAATATAAAAATGAGCTCGTATTATTATTTTAATATAAAGAGAGGAGAGTGAATGAACTCATCTTAAAAAAAATAAGAGCAAATTGAAAAAAACATTTAAAATTGTCATATTTTTATTTTTTTTTTCAAAGAGAGTAGAAAGCAATTTTCTTCGTACAATTTACACTTCATGTCATAATTACATAATATGATAAGAAACAAACTCATAAATTTATTTAGGTCGCATATTCCTCTATATTTTACAAAAAAAAAAAAATATAAAACTTTTAAAAAAGGAAAGTTGCAGCAACAAAAGAAAGAGGAAAAGTTTTTCATTTTTCTCTCAAATAAAATGACAATAAAATTTTACAAGAATCTTAAGAAAAGAAAATTATTGCAATTTTGAATATACACACGTAGCAGGGTTCCCTTCCCCACCGGCCATACGTATTGAAAAAAAAAAAGTTTATTTTGTTAGACGAAAATTATTCCTAAGTAACAGAATAAAAATTATTTTTAAAAGAACAATGAAAATAAGGAAGAAGGAAGCAGAAAAAATGTTGAATAAAATGTAGGGTTTCTGATATCTAGCAATCTTATTCCGTAATAATTTTTTTTATTTTACAAATCTCTTATAATGCATTTAACAAAATGCCAAAATTAAAACGACAAAATTAGGCATGAAGTATATGAGACGAAATTCTAATTTAACTTTAAAAAAATTATTTTAAGTGTTGAATGGCTTTGTTCATATTCAGTTTTCTTAAGAGAATTTTGTTTTCTTCTTCTTCTTCCTTTCAATTTTAATTTAGATCTAGATCATAATTGAAAATTAAATATAAAAAAAATTTTGCTGCCAAAAATAAAATGTTAACAAAATTAGCTTTTTATTATAAATAAAGTTGCAGAGTTGCCGGTCCCGAATTTTGTCTTTTTTCTTTAAATTTTAAATTCTATTCTGACCTCAACCAAATTATGAAAGAGAAATATTTAAAATTTTTGACTAAGACTTCAAATCGAATAACTGAAAAGCTTCGAAGTAGCTTCTCTTCTATCATAAATATTTGATTTTGATTGCTTTACTTTGATTACTGCTTGATTCCGAATTCTGCAGTCCTAATTATAAATGCAATTTTAGCAGAAAATCATAATTTCAAAATTATTTCATATAAGTACATACATAGTAATTAATTTAAAATAAATTTTCTTTGAATTTTCAATGAATTTTTCAAATGATATTGTAGAATATGAAATTCATACATGAAAAGTTCTTATATTACAAAATTTATTGTATGTTACACGTGTAACTAAGCTATTCTTTTACATTAAAGAAACCGATTTTTTAAATTTCTTCTTACTTTTAATTATTTTGTCGTTTCTCAGTAAAAAACTTACAAAGCAAAATGAAAGTTTCAATGGAATATCAGCAAATTCAACTATAAAAAAGAGGATGGAAAATACAATTTCCAATTTTGTAAATTGGTTTTTATAAATTTACAAAACTGTAGGGTTTACTTTGCAAAAAAAAAATTTCTTGTATCACTCATATCAAAGGTAAAAAAAGTCATTCATTTATTTTTCTACTTTAAAAGTCTATTCTTTATATTATATGCGTTAGTATACATACATTAGTTTATATTGTATAAAGAATAGACACTCAATAAACACATATACGAGTATTTCTTTATGAAAAAAAAAGGAATTATAAAAATTCGAAATTCAATTCAATTGAGTTCGATTATCGGAAAAAAACAAATTAATTGATTTATTTTTGTTTTTCATATCGTTTATTTTCAGTTTACTATCCCAAAACTGCCGCAGCCATATGAAAAATAATGAAAACTATATGGAAAATATTTTAAATATTATAAATTTGGTGCGAACTCAATCTGATATATTTATGATATTTCATTTATTATTCACGTTCACATTCTTTTCATTACACTAACTGTGAATATTTACCATTAATGGTAGTCTACACCCCACGTACATGTATGGTGTAGGTGATTTTTCATGTTTTTATCAGACTATACTATTTTAATTAATATTATTTTACACAATATATCGAAATAAAATCCAATTAATGGAATAAAACTTTTGCTAAAATCATTTTTAAAAAAATAAATAAAATAATAAAGATTTCAAATAATACGAGATTGGTATTTTTTTTTTTAGTTGTAGCTCTTCGAATTTTGTTTTTAAATGAAAATAAAATTTAAATTCATGAAAATTTATATTAAAAAAATATTTCTGATTCAAAAAAATGAATGAGTCAATTAAAAGTAAATCATTTTCTTCTACGATAGCACTTCTTGTATCACGGTGAAAAAATAGAATTTACTTAATTTGAATTCGATGACATCAAAGAAATTCCGTCGCTTCGTATTATATTTCAATCAGAGCGAAAAATATTCGGCTAGTGTTGAATGAATTTTGAAAATGTTGCCTAATTCTTAAAATATTTAAATTTATTTTAATTTTAATTCAAAATGAAATTGTGCTCTAACAGAGGTCTGCGGATTTAGAGCCAACAAGTTGATCGAAATTAGGATGTTCAAGTCAAAGAATTGATGTCATAATTTGTAGGTTTCTGATTGCTGTAATCTAAATCTGAATCTTGTATATTTAACAACAAATTTTTTATATACATAGATTGCAGGCTACAGTTTCGACCTTTGAAAAAGTACAACTGAAAACTTTCTTGGCAATATTTAAACAAAATATTGTGATAGACTACACAGCACCTGTAACAAATATGAATAATTGAGTAATAGAATCAAATTAATCTTTAATTCACACACACCGTTTCTTTGACTTTAAAATAGAAAACATTTCTTTTATTTAAACTTTTAATAACTTTTACTTGCCTACTTTGGTTCTTGTATTATTGATATTGTTTTCAAAAGGATTTTATATAAAGGATTTTGTACAAAAACCAATAAAATAAGTTGTACATTTTCTTTTTTTTTACTAGAACATTTTATACACCTATATATACACCTATACAAACATACGTTCTAATTTACTTGAATACTTTTAAAAGAATTTTCTTTTCGGTTTACTTGTTTTGATCCTTTTAATAGAAGAATACCCTTTTACTTTATCTCTTTTGGAACCGATGTACATTTTTCTATATAAACATATACAAATATTCGAAAAATTTTGTTATACAAATATGTATGTATGTATGCGTATTTATAATTATTTATTCGAGAAATGTTGCAGATTTTTCTTTAATAAAGAAGACTTTTTATTTTTCTAAAACTTTTAGAATAATTTCATTAATTTTTTATATTTTATTATAAAGAAAAGTTAAATTAAATTGAGCTCAAGAGTTAAGAGCATATAAATTTAGTGTAGGTCTATAACATAAAAATGAATTGATTCTAAGTTTTGCAATAATTTATTTTTGCAAAATTTGAAGAAAGGTAGTTAGTTTTTCTTTTCAATCAAAGTTTTCGATTATTATGCAAGAAATAATTAAATTAGATCTTACACTACAACGCATTTCTCTGCTTTCAAAGACCCTATTGCATGTTGGTAATAAATAATATTGTTCCATAATGATTTCCATAGTGGTAATGACACGTTTTTTAATAACCTAATAACTCGTACTTCCATTTATCTCCATAAAATCATTAAATACACTAATTAAGCGTAGGATAATATTCCAATGGTAAATGATAAAATGTAATTAAAATTTTTATTTACAAATAAAATAGTGAGAATATTTGCAAGTATATTATTTACATTTCACAAATTGGATATTCCATAAATGTTTTAATTGTATATGGACTTAAACAATATTTCCGAATATTTTATTTAATTTTCACGCATTGAAATTCAAAATGAATGAGATAGCGATTATTTGAAAAGTATTAAAAATTCATTAAATATTGAAAATTCTAATCCCCAATAAATTTTCAATAAATTCAAGTATATTGAGGAAATTTAATATTTTTCCAATACCACTTTATACCACTATTTGTTTAAGTTGTGTATTTATCAGCAATAAAATTATTGGATGGTATTAAATACAGGCGGAAACACGAAATTTACCATCCGCTTCTCAGTTTCTTTAATAATTTATTATGAAACAATATGAGTTCCAAATTAAATGCAATGTGCATAAATTCAATAAAAAATATTTTAATTGCGTTCACCATAAGGTTTTTAAAAACAGTATTAATTCATTTGAGTTAGGTGTTTTTAAATTAACAAAAGTGAAAATAAGAAGAACATTAATATTATCCTAACCACTAATTCTTAACTACCAATTTCCTTCAACTAGTTTCCATATTCAGTTTAAAATTTTTTGAATTTGAAATTTTATGGTCTATAATATAGAATAATGCATATTAGTCTATAAAATAATACCTAATTTCCCGTTCTATTGATGATCCAGAGGATTGTCGACGTGGTGAACGTGGACTTGCTCTACTATTTTGATTATAATATTGTTGTTGTTGATAATGTTTTTCTGGGCTATGTAATTCAACTTGTATACTTCGTGAATCTATACTATTTGTACGACTGGTTGCTGATGATGCACGATAATAACGTGATGCATTCGATGCATCTGATGTTGTAGAACTTCGTCTATTAAAAATAAAAATATATAAAAAATTTTAAATAAAAACTTTCCGAATGAAAAAATTATTGGTTTTACCGTCTCTCTTCATATCTAGATGCAACTATCATATTATGCTGTTGTAAATGTTGCTGATGTTGTTCTTCTTTTTCAATTGGTTTCTGTCTTGATAGTATATGACGTTTTGATGTATCCGATCTACGATAACGATCTTTTATACGTTTTTCATGACCACTATCTAACATTATTATTGACATTAAAGATGAATCATCAATATCGGATGTATTACAATATGGTCCAGATTCATCAACTGACATTGCATGACGATGCATTTGATGTAATTTCCCCGGATGTAACAGTGAACCACTAGTAAAGTCAGTATTTCTTGATGAACGATTTATTAAACTTGTACTGGTACGTTGTGAACGTGTTTTTGAAAAAGGGCGTTCACTATTATTTACTAAAGAGCTATTTGATCGATTTTTTTTATTGTTACTACAACTATTACCATTACCAGCAACTTTATTTGAAGATTTATCATTATCATTTGTTTTATTTATATCTGAACAAATAATATTGCTATCACCAATAGCATTACCAATCCTGCCAGCTTCCCTATTACCATAATCATCATTAATGATTTCATCATTATAATGATGTTGTTGTTTATGATGATGATTATGATGTTTAGATTTATGATGATGATGATGATGTTGATGGTTTTGTAATTGTTGTTGATATTGTTGTAATAATTGTTGTTGATATTGCTGATATAATATTTGTTTTGTTGTTAAACTATTCGAATTTGTATTATTTATTATTTGTCTACGATATAATGGCGATAATTGAGCTGAATTAATACTCGATCGATTACTTGTTAATGCTGAGGATAAATTTGGCACGGAACCACTAAGTGAAAAACGTCGTGTTTTTGGTGATTGACGGGGAGAATTCCTAGAAAGAGAAATTAATAAATTTAAAATTGTTATAATTTATTAGAAAAGTCTTATAAGATGAATATCGAAAAGCTGGTAAAAGTTTTAATATTAAGAGTGGTAAATGGTGACGCAAAAATCTGATTTTTAACAAAAATATTATTCTTTTTCTATATTTATTTATGGTGATCTCATTTGCACTAAAAATTTTCTTCGATTATTTTATTAAAACAAAACGGAATTGTAAAACAAATTCATAGCTATAACAAAATTTTGATGAACTGTTTCAGGCCATAAATGTAATCCGCTTTAAATTAATTTAGAAAAATTGATCGTAAAAAAGAAAATTACTTAATTTCCAAAATTCGCAACTTGGTCATAAAATATTTTAAAAAAAAGTTTTAATTTTGAGCATGTTATTCATTTTAAAACATAAAAATTTTAAATTAAAATCATAAAAAAAAGGTAAACTTGAGGAAGGATGTTGATGTATAATAAATAAAATTTAATTTTTCAGAATAGTAAAACTTTATTTTGGGTTTTCATGAAAATTTAAATTATTTTTGTTATCAGTATATGAGGAAAAATTGAATAATCAATTCTGTGTGGCAGCGAACATTTTAAAAAATAAAAGCATCTAAGCATATTTGAATCGAAAATCTAAAATATTGCCTTAAGATATCCTAAAATATAAAAGCTCTGATTTCAATTTGAAATCGCTAGATGTAATTTAATAAAACTTCGCAAACAATTGTCATGAATTTTTCATATTACAAAAAGTTATGTCCCTCTTAGTTAAATTTTCGAAATTTAAAAAACCTCTATCTCTTCTCGTTTAACGAGAAAGTGTATTCAAAGATTTACACCTACACAAAGGATTTTAATTAAAATTTTATAAAAATGTGAGTGGGCTCATGAGGTATTCTCTTCACTCCCTCACAGCAACACTTTCAATATCATCACTATTTCATTTCAAATTGGTTAATCGATTTCCTCTTATCATTATGTAATTGAAACTACTAAATCATATGTTCTATATCTATATGAAAATAACTTATAAATACACACAGGTATATACAAAGATAAACTTGAAATTTTAACATATGTTCAACGTTATAAATTTGCAACTTGTTGAGTTTTTCCTCTCTTTTTCAAATCGCTATTATTATTTTCACCTTTCCTGCTATTTTGTTTTTTTTTCCCTTATAATAAAATGAAATTTGAAATTTTCTCTCAATACCTTTTCGAATTTTTTTTATACCTACATATGTACCTACACAATATTTTTTATATTTTTCCATGAAAAAAAAAAAAGGAAAATGAAAATAATTTTCCCTTTAATATCCTTATGGGATCAATAAATAAAATGTTGAACAATTGTTAGACAACAAGGCAACAAACGTTAATAAAAGAAATATGAGAGGAACAGGATGCGAATATTTATATATACGTAAATATATTACGAGTATGTACGTGTATTTCCAGATTTATATATTTAGAATTATTTGCTGAATGCCTTATAATAATTTATAAGGTCGTCTTCTATTCATTTATTTGTATATTTATATAATGTAATAAAACACTAAATAAATAATGGCAAAAAATATTTTGACCTACAAGAAATCAATGAAATTTTAATAAGGAACCCTCTTGTTAATATTTAACACATATGGATTGTTGTTATTGTATTTATACATAAATTATGTAAAAATACGGAGGGATTGCGAAAATTTTAAAAAAATGTTTGTACATACTCAACTGTCAGCATCGGCACTTCTCTAAATCAAGAATTGTTAGTTCTTCAAATTTCTGTTCAAGAAAGTACTATAATCCAATTTTGTAATCTAAGTTGGATTCTGTTCAAAATTTACTCTTAAATTTTATAAAATTCTTAGGCGTTTTTCAACAAATTTCAAAATATATTGAATCTCATTCGTACTTTTGCAACTCATCTCTTATGTATTCTTATAAATCTCATAAATTTAAAAAAAAATAAAAAAAAATCAAATGTAAATTTCTCAAAATCAGGTATTTGGAATTCTCCACTCTTCCATTTTTCCTACAATTGAAAATTGAAATTCATTTCTTAGACGTGATTTTAAATTAAATTTAAAGTTGGAATATTTTCAATGAAAATATTTTACAAAGGAAAATCATTTTTTTTGTGTTTTATTATTCATTGAAATTTGAAATTTAAAATTTAAAATACTGAAAACAAAACAATTTTTTTTACTTACCCTAGTGTTTTTGAAAAATGTATTAAAGCAGCCGTTAAAGCTTGTCTATCTAATGGTTGTGCTGGTGCTGGTGGTTCAGCTGGTGATGTTCTAAATACACCTAAATGATGATCCCATCTAGTTGCTTGGTGCATAATACCTACACATAATATGCACATATATGTATATGTATGTGCACATTTGTTTTGTGTATATGGTAAAATTAAATTTTAAGCCATTTGCAAACGAAAATTGCGTGCAGTATGAAAAAAAATTATAAATAGAATTTTAGCTTTAAAAATTTAATAAAATTGAAAATTTATTTTATAAAACATTTGGAATTGAAGTTTTGTCAAAGAATTTGAATTGATTGATTGTATTTTTTTTTTCCAATAAAATCTTGTAAAATTTTCATTACAATTTTGTGTGTCCAAAACAAACAATAATGATGACAGGTAAAGCGGAAAAAACACAACAAAAGCAGAGAATGAACCGGCGAACGGTTTCCGTGTTAACATAAAACAGCGGAACAGCAAAATTAACTACATATTTAATATGACGTTTAAAAAAATTATGGCCGGTAAAATAAAATTTTAGGCTATTTTACCGCCGTCAGTCCCATTTATATACATACATATGTATATTCTATATGAATTTTGACCTCTCGGCGCGGCAAATAGCTGTTGCTTTATTTTTACTTTAAGAATGTCATTAAATTTGTGTAAAAATGCGGATATAATACACAAAAATTAAGTTTACAAAGCCACAAAGATTAAAATTATAAAGAGAAAAGTTTCAACTGACATTTCAAAATATATGACAATTTCTTTTTTAGAACATTTTTCTACCACAAAAAACCAAAATTTTTTCTAATGGAGCAACATTCTTAAAAATTTTTTTTTAGTAATGTAATCATATGGAAACCAATTCGAAACTTATTAATTTAAACTTTAAATTTTAAAGCTATGAAATGAATTCTGCTAACCAGAAGAAACTTATCTGGACCTTATTTTATCAGGTAAGTTTTGTAATGACCACTAACATTCAAATAATTTTCTGATTTTTTAAAGCCAATAAAAAATGCTTTATTCCATATTTTTATTTTCAATATTGCACAGATTTCAAAGTTTTATAAAAACACATACACACACTTTTACAAAAAATTTTTACATTCTCTTAACGCTATTGATAGCATCAATTTTCATGTTTATAATCCAATTTTCTCCAGAAAACTAAAAAAAAAAAGTTTTCTATTTTTACCCTTTTTTTTTTGTAGAAAATTATTGGAAAAAAAATGTTCCAAAACTTAATAACAAAGGAATGAAAGCTTTGTTCATCGTTTAGATTTTAAATTATGTGAAACAGGACATAAGAAGTAAAATAGGGAACAACAAAAGCATGACAGAAAGAATATTGAAAAAATTGACAGTCATCCATCCATAACACTTCATTCTTTTTTCTGTTTTACGTTTTATGTCTTTTGTGACAGTAGAAGGAAAAAAATAGAAAAATGCAAATAGAAAAATTGTCCAATTTATGTTCTCTTTTTTTTTCTTTTGTAGAATAGAGATCGAAAAATATTTAATATTATTGAAAAGAATTGATAAGTATTATTGAATACTATGCTGCAATTGTCAAACAGATAGTGTTAGTATTAAGAAACCTAATCTTAGGAGAAGAAAGCAGGCCGTTTACATTAAGTTCAAAACAGTTACAATTTAAATAAACAGCTGGAAACATTCTACTTGTTGACAATATTAAATATATTCAACTTTAATTTAACTCAAGTTACTCGAGCTTTTCTGAGAAGTGGCTTGCTCCAACAAAAATAGTGTAATAACGTTAATAAAATAGTGTAAAAAAAATTGAAATGAATCTTTTTGGGATTCAGTGAGATCACATAACAAAATTACTAGTTTAAATTTAGAGCTGATTCACCAGATTTATGGACCCATTTTGTAAAACCATGCAATTCTATCGATCAAGTTCATTGTATCAAACCATAGTGTATATGTGTATGCAAGAAAATCTTGATTTTGAAAATTCTTTCTATGTGCATGTACAAATTTTTTACTGAAATGTTGAAAAAAAAAAATAAAATCAAAATACCAAAAGAATTTTCTACATTTTAAATTTAGAAAAATTTTACATATTCCTTGCACAACGAAATAATAATTTAATATTGTAAAGAATTTTTGTATTTAAGTAATAAGCTCTGCAATTTTTTAATATAAACCTTGTGTTTAAGGTACAAAATTTCATTTTAAAGTCACATCTTTGCAATAAAATAATTAATTTTCTATGTATTTTAGACATTTATGCAAGTGTATTATTAATCTAATAAACAAACATACATACTTATATGAATTAAAGAAATTTACGCCAAAAACTCATAATTTCATACTTGTAACATGAAACATTTGTGTTCGTTCTATTTATAAAATATGAAAAACTTACCATTGGCACGTCGATTTGATGCACCACTACTTGAATTACTACGTATATTTGATCGACTGCTTGTTGAAATTTTAAAACGTGCTGGTACTACTTTTGCAGCTGAATCACGTGCCTCAAATGTCATAACACATGCAGCAACAATAATAAAACCACCAAAACCCATAACAATTGGACCAACATATGATAAATTATTTAAATGGAAACCTCTTGATTCATTTTTAACACGAACCGTTGCATTACCACGTATTTCATGTCCCATTGATAGATGATCTGCATAATATCCTATATGGCGTTTTCAAAATAGAAGAAATAAATTTTAGAAACATGAAAAAAAATTCACCACCATTCGAAAAAAAAATTAAAAAATTTATTAAATTAAAAATGAGTACTTGCTTATGTATGTATGTAAAGTTGGTATAAATTTTTGTGTTTCAAATAAAACAAAAGTAATGCCAGTAAAATGCGGGACAATTTTTTTTAATCTTGTATACAAAGTAAAAAAAAATATTTGAATTTTTTATTGTAATTCGGTAATTTTTTTAAAAATCAAATTCTTTGCTCGTTTTATTATAACGCAAAATTGTACTAGATTTTCTATCGTATGTTTTTTTGACATTAAAGAATGTCAACTTTTTTTTCGAGATTAAAATTACAAAAAAAAATTGAGCAATTTTCTCTCCAAAAAACCATAAAAGTTCGATAGAACATCATTACAAGTATTGCAGCATGTTTGAATGAATAAGTTTCATAAGGCATGTTTGATATCGGGCTCGATTTAATGACCGTCTTCGATAAGTTTAGGCATGTTAGCACTAAATTTATGTTGTAAAAATTGTAAATTGATAGTGTAAATTTCAGAATAGGTTTTATTGAATATTATAAGTATGATACTATCAATCCTATCTGAACAAATTTCTTGAACAGAACAAATGACAGATCGTCTTTCAATTTCTTTTTTTAAATATTTTGCTACATAATTAATAAATTTTTAACTCTTTCTTAGTAAATAAATATTTGTTGCAATTTAATAAAAAATACATTAAAAATTTTTTCAGATTTCATTAAATTTTTCGTAGCAACTCATAACTAACCTTTGTACTTATACTTATCATACAATTCTGTGTTGTATTTTCAATATCAATTACGTTTGAACAAGCAATGATTAAAACTATTGTTTACAACATAGTGAAACCTTTAGTGCAACACCATTAAAATGGGGAAACCAATGTCACAATTACAATTCGATGTTCAGTGCGCTTAATACGAATTGTATACAGCATATGAAAAACACTTATCGAACACAGCACTTCCGATTTTCTAATTTCTTCCCCTCTTATATAAAAATACATTTTTTTCACTTCACACAATGTAGGTTTGTAAGTAAATATTTTGAAGGATATTCATATTTTTTATACATATTTTTTTCTTTTTATTATAGAAAATATCCTTGATTTATTTAAAGTAACGCAGATTTATTTGTTTCTCGTTCTATTCATTTGAATTGAAAATAGTTTTAAATAAACGCATATTTTACTTATATACATATTAATATGTTTGTATACAATGTTGCTAAAAATGCTTTTAAATTTTAAAAAGTTCATTGTGAATGCTTTTAAAATTTAACATTTTGGCTGTTCTCATCTAGAATTTCAATTTGTAGTTGGTTTTTATTGAAATTTTCATTCTCCAGTTAAAATTTAGAAATAAGTTAAAAAAAAAATAATTTTTTAATAGTGAACTATTTCGAAAAAGTAAAAACTGTTTATCAGACTTCTCTTGGGCCCAGTTAGTAATAGGAGTTTTCATGGTAAGTGTTTTAATTTTATCTAGAAGTTTCTTCAATAATTTTCTTACAAATCACAAGAAATTCAATTGAAATAAGACAATAACGTTTGTATAAGGTTTTTTCTCCCGAAAACACCATTTTATTTTATAAATATGCGATTTAAATCTAGGAGATGTAAAATTAAAGCAATCAGTTTTAATGCTTTTTGGCATTAACTTAATAGTTTTAATAAAATCTTTTTTAAAGCTTTTATATTTTAATAATAAGCCTTGATAACAGTAAATCACCTACATGTTTTGCATAATAAATCTACTTTTTTTTTTTTTAGGATTTTCTATGATGTCTTTTCCCATAAGACCATACATATGAAAAAAATTAAGTTCGTCATATGGAAATATATTCAAAATAACAATGAGGAAATATTTTATTTTAAATATGGGGACTACTAAATTCAACACTTTTGGTGGAAATTTAAATTAAATGGAGGTTCGAGCTATAATGATGGTATTAATTACAACGAATAGAAAATTTGAAATTGATCTTCAGTTCCAAAGGCAAAATTAAAGTTAAATCAAGGGTTTAAATTATCTTAAGCAAAGCAAATATTGTACTACATTTAAGACATAGAAATGGCAAATTTGTCAGGCGTTGAAAAAAGACCTTTCCAGGCTGCATAAGGGAAAGTATCATTGATTGAAAGTATCACTCAGTCTTGAAAGCACTTGCTACCACAACCAGCCACAAAATTATGAATTGTCTTAAAATACAGAAATTCCTTCTCATTTTGAAAATAACCCAGTCTAATGAAAACTTACAATTTTTTAAATTTACTGAAAATGGCTTTAGGCTTTCTGTCAATAGCAAGTTGATTGAATAATTCATGTTTTGAATGGCAACAATCTTATCTTTACTTTGAGACTGATTTTTTTTTGCATTATTTTCTCAAATCAATTGTATTCTGAAAAAGAAAAATTCAATTTTCCCAGTATTTAAATTCTACGAAGATTTCTTCATTTATACATTCTTTAACAGACGTTTGTATACACAAAAAATGTGTCAAATTTAAATTTTCCCATACTGCCATTTCAACTTTAATAATATGGTCTTATAACTCAACTCAAATCAACATTGTAGAATTACTTTTAGTATTCAAAGTAAAATTCGAACAATTTGATATTGAAATAACAAAAAAAAAAATATTGACTTCAACATCAATCACATTTCATGACGCCTTCCGTTCATTCAATTGAGACAAAAATTGTACATGTATGAATGTATGTAATATGATTGTAATAATATATAGGCACACGTGGTGTATGTAACAAAATACATACAATTTTATATAATAAAGACAACAAATTTCAAAATGTCGAATAAAAAAATTTTTTATTTTTTATTTTAGTTATCTATTGTTTCTATATAATATATATGTATAACAAATTCTGTATAACAAATTCTATGCATTAAAATGTTGTGTATTTGATAAATTTTTAAGGATATAAGTGTGGTAAATCTTTAAGGATTTTCTGGTTTATATTTGATTTTTACTAGCGATAACAATTTTCTTATTAAAATATTCTGTAGTACAAACACACATATACTTGTAATATATAAGAACGAGTCGAATTATGTTAAAACAAATTATTTGTTACACATATTTTACATGTTGATTGAATGTTCAAGTCAAAATGAGGTTATGTTATTGTGGTTTAAAAGATTTATTGTTAAAATTCAAGATTCGGATGCAAATATTTTGGAAAATTTTGTACTTTAATTGATTGTAAGATTTGATTTCATTTAACATAATGTGTCGTAAAAACTTGTATAACTTACGGAAAAAGGAGTAGTAATTGTTTAGACAATTTGGTGGTTTTTTATAAACGTGGGCGAAATCAATCAGCGGTACACACTGAAGGTACAAAAAAACATGTTAATGGTAATGGTTAATCTGAGTTTGTTAGTAGAAGTAAGTGCTTGTCTTTCTAGGTTGCCAAAGTTTTTATAGGTTATGATATTATAATCGCTAACAGCTATAAAGTGGCAGGATATGGAAGGTGGAAAATATGTGTTCTAAAGAAATCGGTTTCTAACAAAGATTTTCATGTAGTCATGGAAAACTCTCATATCAAAGTACAAAAAAGTAAAAAATGTAATTTATTTTTTAAATGGAATCAATTACAATTCTACAGGCTACAAGATTGTAGCACAAATTACAGATTTTAGCTTAAATTTCCCAAAACTCTATACTTTTTTCTTTACACTTAACTTAATTTCAATATTAAGTGTCTTATTTTGTGTCATCTTTATGTGTCAAACCTTGTATCAAACCTTTACTGTTTGCTATTTTATTGCATTACCTGATCATCATCAAAATCCACTCAAAATCATCCCATAAATTATGCTTGGGATAACATAATTTATGATATACAACTACTTTTTCCTTGTATCCTAAATCATATTTTGAAAAATACCTTTTATTTTGGAATATGGTAAACAAATTATTATCTGAATAAAAAAAATATTCATCCTAGTTTTATGCAATATAAAATAAACACTGATATTTTTCTTACAAATCCTTTTTGAAAGATTTTTTTTTTTTTTGTACTAAACAATTTTATTAAAAGCTATAAACAAGTTTTTATTACAAAATAGGATATAGAATCTCAACTATGAGAATAAAAAAAGTATAGAATTTTAAAAATATTACTTTGGAAAAGCAATAGACCATGAAAATCAAATTGTCCATGAAGTATAAATTGTGATAAAAATTTATGAATAGATTTTTTTTTTATTTTAGAATTGCAAAAATACCCTAATAAAACATTGAATGCCTGTGTATAAAAATACAGGAATGCGTGTATATAAAAGAGAATTTTATGATATATAAAAATATGTACATAATAAAGGATTCAAAATATTCGTAAAAACAAAAAATAGAAGAAGAGAAGGTTAAAATGTAAAATAGGTATAAGTGTTATAAACAGCAATTTATTGCAATCGGTGAGAATTAAATTCTTTCTATTTAAAATTTTTATTAGAAAAGAGCAACTTTATAGTTTTTTGGTATGATTTTTTAGGTGTAAAAAAAAGTTAATGCGAGTCGCCATTTAAAATTTCAATATTTCCAGTTTTATGTTCTTTAGTCGTTGAGTATTTAATAGTTGAGTATCGGGGCTTTCATTGTATTCCGTACTCTTGTTTGTGAATTGTCATGTAGTCTTTTTTTATTTCAAAATGATTTTTTGATTCTTATTAACTAAATTACGTTCAAAATTACCCTGGAACCTAATTTTCAAATGAAATGTTATTTTGCTACACAAGTTCAAGAAACTTTAAAAATTTTCTTTCAGTTTTTTACTTATGTCCTCATTTTACAAAAATTTTTCTTTGTTTTCTGCTTATTATACTTAAAAGAATTACAATAAATATTTTGTTTTCAGATTGTCTGTATGGCAAATTCTGAAAATTTTTAATATTATTTGAAAACTTTAATAATCCGGATGAGGAGGAGATGACTTTAAGGTACAGATTTCATAATAAAAAAGTTTTCATAAATGACAAAAACACGTGTCTTTTTATACAAGCATTTTCAAAATGACGGAATCACACAAATTTTAATTAGTTGGAAATATTTGTCAAATTTGGAATCTTAAACGGAATAAGAAAATTAAATCTTGTTTAAGAAATTTAAAAAGTGTTTTAAATTAACCAAATTAATAGGGTTTTAAATTGAATTCCGCGAAAAAATCGCTTCCAGGTTCCTTGTTTTTTCATGTTTCAAAAAAAAATGTTACAGTTTTCAACATACTAAATTAGTTTATTTTTATTTCATATTAAAAATTTATTTAATTGTCCAAAATGAAATTATTTTTAATTTTTCGGTGTGCTCTTAGAATAGTACACACTACATTTACCTAGAAGTTTATCAAATATTTCAGAGAAAAATAGTTGGGAACTTCTAAAATTTGTATGGTAAATTTCAAAGTTGATTAATAGAATATCAATCAGCAACAATATATTCTAAGACCATAGTATAGGATTTTATGGAAAAAGACAGAAATTTCACACCGATAATGAAAATTTAATTAAAAAAAAATGATTTATTATTTTTATTATAAATTAGATAATTGTGATTAATCAAATAATTAATTTTAAGGACCCGCTCAATATTTCAAGTCCTTAACAAATATAATAAATTTTCTAACAACGAGTCACAATTAGATTCATATACATACCAATAAATAAAGTAACACTAAATAAAGTTTCATAAACTTTCACTAATCTCAGTTCTTCCATTAACATTAATAATTAATGAGTTTATTTCAAAATTAAAGTTAAAACACAACTTGACAATAAATTTTCTAATTTTTCATTTTATCCAACCTTTATTTGAATATTTCAAAAATTATCGCTTTTAAGTTAACAATCAAGAAGTTGGTGTACAAATAACCAATTCCTCTATGTAGTCAGAACAGAAATCCCATTATACATCATTATTATTGTTATGACCCACAAAAAGAAAAAAATTGTATTTTAAAATTCATTCTCATCTCTCAAAATTATTCACTTGTAAATATTTTTCATTTTTTTTCTAAATTTCAATAGAAAATTTAATATTTTACACGTAAATTTGTAATAAATCTTAATCTTAAAGCTTATTTTTTTTTTCTTTTTGACCAGAGGTATCTTAAAGTGTATTAAGAATAAAATTTTTCACTTGTTTTTTTTTTCTTGCTCACCATGAAATCATATAAAAACTCCCAAAAAAAAGGAAGCAATTTTTCGTCATCCATTAAAATTATTATTAACTTGAAGTAGTATGGTAATATTTCATGAAGCTATTTTATATATTTTGTTAAGTTGTTTAATAACAACAAGCAATAACAAAATTTCCTAGGAAATAAACCCAAAATAAGCAAGAAAATATGTTCTCTCTAACAAGGATATAAGCATGATCATAAACAAGAAAGCTATGGGTAGAAAAACTTTAAGTATATTTTAATAATATATAATATTAAATAATTAAGATTACCAGACTGTCTGGAAAATTTGTGTGTATTTTAATTTAAATTATTCTCTTAGTCTGTATTTAAGATTAAATAGTTTGGTATACAATATAATTTTAAAATATTTGAATAATTTCTTGGAAAGAATTGTTCCATTATAAGAATTAACTAAAAATTATTGCCCCAAAAAGTATGCAATATTTTGTTATTCACTTAAAATTGGGTATTGTAATTGGCCTGAACTAGTCATTTCAAAACTTTGTCAAATTTCAATAATTACATTAAAATTGTTATAAATTTAATATTACGACACTAATTAATCAATGACAATGAAAATTTTCAAAAAAAAATTATTTACTCTTAATTTGACTACCCTAATTTCATTAAAACTCATATAATATATATTAAATATAATAAAATTCAAAAAAAAAAACAAAAAAACCAAATAAAATATATTAAAAAAAAAAAAACAAAAACTAGACAAAAGAACACAATAAAAAAAAAACGAAAAACCATAAAAAAAAAAACTTACCAATTGTCGCCATACTGGCACCCATAAGCAATAATAGTATACCTAAAATTAGAGCACGACAAGCATGCCATAAACATTTTGATGTCATTTTGCCACGTACAACTTGTACATTCCATGTAGCACCTGATGCTGGATGAGCTCGACGTAATTGCCCTAATGATGGTTTTCTTCTTGATTGCCATTTTTTTGATTTTCGTGCTGGCATTTACTCGGTGTATAAATATATTTCGTCTTCTCTTTTCTTTTTTTTTTTCTTTAATTTTCCTTTTATATTAATATAATATAATATTTATGATATAGAAAATATTATGTCTCTTTTACTCTTATATACGCATAATGGTATAGAAATATTTTTTTATATAACTTGTTATTATTTGTTATTATGCATAGATGTTTGTGTGCGGTGTATGTATATAAATACCAAAAATACACGTGTATTTATAATATGCTCAACTCATTTAATGGGATTTAGTAAGAATTTTACTATCGTAACAGTAGATTTTTGTTTTATTTTAAAACAAAAATAGAATGTAAATAATAGTGGTAACAAATTAATCTTTTTCTATCTCATTCTCTTTTATTCCAACTTTAATATTTTTGTCATTCTCTGTATTTTTGTTATTGTTTATTTTTTATTCTGATTAATTATGTTATTTTTCACTTTATAAAGTTTGCTTTTTTTTTTTGGAGATTAAAGTAGAACTGATATGAAATTTAAAGAGGTAATTTCCATTTGCTCATGTTTTATTTTCTTCGCTCACCCCTCTTGCTCTCTCTCTTTCTGTTTGTATTTTTTTCTGTCACTTGTTTTTGACTTTTATCTCTAATATTTTTTGTTCTTTTGTTTACATTTCTCTTTAATATTTGTGTACAGGTTGCTTTCTATCTCCGTATATTTTTTTTCCTGTTTTAATTACAGCAGTTTTTAAAAAATTTTTATTGTAGATAAAAATGCAAAATTAAAAAATTTTTTATATTTATGCAAAATTATATTTTTTGTTTTTGTCATATAATCAACTGATGTTGCCATAAAAATTACTTCAAGTATTCCTTTGCAAAGCTTTCTATCTGAAAATGGAAAAAAATACATATATTGGAATATTAAAGAAATTTGTTAAAAATTTGTCAGAAGAGTAAAATGAAATTTAAATTTATAAAGCAATATTTTTGTATATAAAATTAATTATATTATTCAAAATGGTTGCAATAAAAACATAAGGTAATAAATTAAATTAAATTGATTCAGTATTTTTATACAAAAATTTGTCTCATACATTACTTTTATATAATCTTATAAATTTTAAAGGATTTTTATATTCCCATTCTTGGAATTAGTAATTGAAATGGAATTGCAAGACTCTTTGAATGAAATTTGAATTCTAGTCGATTTATTTCAGTTATTATCCAATATTTTGGGGATAACATAGAACATGTTCATGTATAAACCGAGCCACAGAAATGTCGCTTAATTCTTATTTTACCATTCCTTATTCAATAGCTTGCCAACCAAAATATGTACTAAGTGAGGGATAAGGCATTCTCCTGTTACGTATTACTAAATTAAATTTTTGAATGATTGTGTTATACATATATGCTTAAAGATATACATATCATATACACTAATTTTTAATTGCGAAAACATGTAATCGTGAGTTACTGCTCATAATTTAAATCAAATATTGCATAATATCACCCCGAGTTAAGTAAATAGTTTAATAGCAATTTCAAAATGTGAACAGCATAATTTTCTGCTGTAGTAAATTTTATATTACTACCGAACATTTCTGAAAAATTATTAAAGGCAATTGGGATAACAAAAACTGCTTTCGTTCTTTTTGGCTCCAATTTTTTTATATCTAGAGTAGTCTAGAGTTTATTAAAAACAAATAAATAGAAAAATTTATAATTGAAAATGGAAACACATAATATAGAGGAGGTTATCTTGTAATGAAATATAAAACTATTTTGAATAAAATGTCAAAAAAAAGAAATTAATATTTTTAATTTTATTTTTTATTCTCTTATTTTCTTATTTTTTTTTTTTGGGAAATAAATTACTTTTTTTGTCCATTTCTATTTCTATTTCGAGAATTATGTATTTGCAATAGATTTGTATATGTATATGTATGTAACAATTTTGGAAAATATAAGAGTTTTACCGAAGAATAGAAAATTATAAACAATTTTTCATAATATTTATTTTTCTCCTCCCTTCCCCAAAAAATTACACACGAAAAAGTATAAAAAATCTTGTTTGTTCTCTGAGAACAATACGAAATGAAAAATTGTAATTAATATGATAAATGAGAAATAACTTTATAATTTTGAGCAGAAAGTAGAGTAGAAGTAAAACTTTGTAACAAAGTAAAGTAACACAGAGTGCCAAGCCGTAATATGAGAAAATTAAGTTCTAATATTTGAGTAACATGCATATGGGAGTATAAGAATTTATTACCATAAATTCCTGATTGTATTTCTCCAAATATTATTAATGTTGCTAATAGTATGAACGACAGCTTACTGTTTATAATAACATGTTATATGGTAAATATTTTTGTTAATCTTGGACAGTAAATTTAATCCTCTCACCTCTCACAATAATATACTGTGATTGTCTCTTAATATTAATGATTTCTGTAATTTTAGTAAACGTGAAAATAATTTCTAATAACAACACATTGTATACATAAATACAAATAAGTAAAAATAGGAAAAAAAAATTATTAATTTGACTAAATAATCATTACAATTATTAAAAATAATTTTCTTTAATATTTTCCATTTGTATATCAAAAATATAGGGGGCAAAGAAAAGAAAACAAAATTAAAATTAAACAAGTAAAAACGTTTCAATCGGTATAAACCGATTGAATTATACCCTGCACCTTTCGTTATTGTATAGCAATTACTCGAACCTGTGAAATCATTCTATAGAAACTACACGGACATGTACGACCTATAATTGGACATCCGACTGCCAAGTTTCATGAATCTGACTTTATTATTTTTCCAAATATTTAAAGTAAGCTTTTAGACTTGTATGGGGGCTACTCGAACCTGTCAAGCAATTCCATCAAAACTTCACAAATATATCTGATTTATAATCGGACACACAACTGCCAAGTTTCATGAATCTGACTTTATTATTTTTCCAAATATTAAGAATAAGCTTTTAGACTTGTATGGGAGCTACTCGAACCTGTCAAGCAATTCCACGAAAACTTCAGAAATATATTTGACCCGTAATTGGACACATGACTGCCAAGTTTCATGAATCTGACTTTATTATTTTGCCGAATATAAAAAATTTGCCGTTGGAGTTGTATGGCAGCCACCCGAACCGGTGCAGCTATCCCATTATAATTTTTAAAGCATGTGTAGAATATAATTGGACACACGCATACAAAATTTGATATTTATAGCTTTATTAGTTTTTGAAATATTTAAAATAAACTCTTGGAGTTGTATGGCAGCTACCCGAACTCGTTGTCCGACTTAGTCCAATAACAATAGGGTTCGTCCTTGGCACAAAAGAAAAAACTTGTGAAAGTTTGGTGTCGATTGCATTATTCGTTTTTGAGTTATCGTGCGATCGGACAAACGGATGGACGGACGGACGGACGGACGGACATGTCTAAATCGACGCAGAATTTTACGCTGAGCAAGAATATATATATATGTCCATACCGCAGATGACTCCTTCAAGTAGTTACAAACTCCATACCAAAGTTAATATACCCTTCACGAAGTGCAGGGTATAAAAAAGAAAATATATGAAGAATAATAAATTTTATTTTCTGTTAATTAATTCAAAATCAAGTGGAAAATAGAAGGAACTAATTTAAGGATCCCATTTACAGTAAGATTTCTTTTATAACTGAAGTGCTCATTTGCCGAAAACAACAAAAAAACCGGAGCGTAAAAAGAATCTTGAATAAATTTAGAATAATTAATTCTTAAGTGATTCTTTTCTGATTTTATTCAAATTTTAATCTTCTCTACTTTAGAAAAAGGTATAGAAGATATAGAGAAGGTTTGAAATAAATTTAATTTTTATGTAAATTTTATAGCTTTACTATCAATTTTACTATATTGTAGGAAGTTGTTTACTTTTTGCTTCATTTTATTGCACATTTTCAATTGATCTTTGAATATTTCAATGTTGAATTAAATTTGAATAAAATTTTGTTAAAGTGAATTTTAAATATTAATATAAGAATTTAATTTCAATTTATTCCCCATATTTTATTCACGATCTCTTCAATTGAATTGAAAACTAAATTCAGAATATTAATTTCTTGTTGAATTACAATGAAAATTTTCATCGAAATGAATTTGACTGAGTAAAATAGCTTACTTATTTAGCTACTTTAATTAACTCTTCACAATTTTGCTTAAAAATCTCCTATTTCTTACCGGCTTACCCAAATATTTGCAAACAACATAAATAATAACAAATGCAATAAATTTCATCTACTGTCACATAAATTTCTTATATACAATTGCTTTCACTTACATTTTAATAGCAAAAATTTGAGTCTACTTGCATTTCAAGGCAAAATATTTATGAAATTTATTGTAGAAGTCCTCAATTTTTCCAATATTGAATGAGATATTTTTACTTTATATATGTTAAAATGATTTTTTTTTTGTGCTGTTCCCAAAAACACTTGTAATTTATTTTAACAAATAAATTTTTTTAAAATAACTTATGTATTTCGATTCAAAACCCTTTTATATTTTACATTTTAAGAATGAATTTATGGCCAACAATATTTCCTCTCTTTAAATTATAATTTTTTTGGTTTTTCAAAAATATCTTACCGTCTACATTTCTACTCTTATTTGGCTGAATATTTTCAATTTTTAAATTAACAAATTGTATTTTCAATTATACTAATGTAAAATTTTATTATTTATTCAAGTTACTTTTAAAATTTGAATCTAGAATATATTTGATATTCACAAAATACTTGTAAAATATGAACACAAATTTTTGAAAACTTCTAGAGTAATTTCAAATTTAAAATCAAATTTCTGTTCAATATTAAATTTCAAGTGTCGGAGATGTTTAAAGTCTAGGATAAGTAGCAATAATTTCAGTATAAGAATAAGAATTCTAAATTTCTAGCATATTAAAATGATAATTTTTCCGCAATTTGTAGTATTTCTCGCATTTTTTGGGTCTAAATAGTGTGATCTTATTAAATATCTGCTATTTTTTGCAATTTCCAGCGAAATACTAGAAAATTCTGCTTAAAGTATTTTAAATTCTAAACTAGTATAATATTATAATAAAAATATAATTTTATTATAAGCAAGTAAACTTTTTAATCTTCTAAAATTTTAAAAGAATTTCTTTATTGTCACGATTTTTCTAACAAAATGTCTTCCTAGATAAATTTTTCAATTTTATGTGTGTGTGTGTATGAAAACTAAAATTTTATATTGTTTTCTCAAAATTTTAACTAAAATTTATGCTTATAAGTATAAATGTGAAATGTTAACTTAAAGTAGATAAATAACGGTTAAAAAATTGTCCAATCCCATTATAGTTCCAAAAATAAAATTGTATTTATATACTAAAAGCTTTAACCCTTGTGCAATCTTGTTTTGTTGCGGAAAATATTTTTCTAGACGTAATGAAAATTTTTAAAGTTTTTAAAAATTTAGAATAGAAAATTCTTAAGAGAATTAAAATAAAAAACTTTCATTTTGTTTTCTAAACTAAAACAAATTTTTTTTTGGTGTAAAATCCTTAAAAATTATAATGGCCTTTCAGATAAATTTTGTGATTCTTAATAGAATAATGCATATTTCAAATTCAAAAAGTTTTGTGGAAAAATTTAAGCCCTTGTTTCATTAAAATTTAGAAAAAATTTTATAAAATTCCTTAAAAAGGAAACTGAAAATTTCATAATTATTTCTAGAGGAATAAAGCACATGTTACATAACTACAAACAAAGGTAATCTTAACAGAACTAGATCCCCTTAGTTGTTACTCAGTAAATAATCACCTTTAGTAATTACTCAGTAATCGATGTTTATTGAATAGATCATTTCTATTT